GTTGACAGGGAAATGGTGCTTATCCATATATCCCATACACTCCATGGGACTGCCATAGGACTGCCCATCAGTTGGGGTGGTCTTGGGGGTCAATGGGGCGGCAGTCCTATGGCAGTCCCATGGGTCGTGCCTGGGTATATGTAATACTTACATGAGTATCTATCATTAAACCCAGGTGAGCTGACCCGTGGTCCCAAGCTGTCATGCGCCATTTGTTTGCCATTGCACTCTGAAGCAGGGATTTTGGATGCTTGATGATCCTTCATGTAGGAGGGCCCAGAATTCCACCTCACAGCCTTCTTGAACTCAGCCGTTTTGACTCGCAAGGAAGAATGTTTGGTTGAGCCATTGCTGGACCCCAAGATCATGTTTGTGAAGTTCAACAACAACAATGGCCATGTCGGAGGTGCAATCGTCGCCGACAATGCGGAGGCAGACATCATGCGATGGCTTGCCAGTGATCAATATCCCGGCAAGACTGACGGCCTTGGAGCTATTGTGGAGGATGAAGATGATGATGAAGAAGATGTTCAGGAAGATCCCAAGGTGCAGGAGGCGCAAGATGTTAAGGAAAGTGTTAAATGCTGAACCCTGAAGTGATACATTGTCGAAATGATAAAAACAAACATGTTGAAATGAGGGTGCCTCAGCTTCATCACTTTGCCTCACCAGCTCTTGTAATGCATGTGTTTGATATTGTATGGTAGTCCCATAGCATGTTACATTGGGCTGAACAATTTGCATATGAACGATCAATGCATTTGCTTTGGACCTCTCGCAGACCCTCTAAACAACACTCTCATTGTCGTGAAGCCCGGAGGAGGAATAGGCAACCTAACACCACCACCCAACAACTGATCCGCTTGATCACATCACTATTCCTTGGATAGTGGAAACCAGGCAAGGGGAAATGAGAGAGGAATGGCAAATATTGAAAGCAGCTAAAGGGGAAACATGGAGAAGCGAAGCAAGAGGAATGAAATGTGACAGGCAAGTGCAAGGATTGATTGGGTTTAGCATGTTTTGGCTGCAGAATTTGTGTAATTAATTTGCGTGGGGATCTGGTAGCTGGTGGGTTTGCAATGCCCTGGTTGAGGGGCTTCAAACACTGGTCACTCTTGGAGCTATTTTGGGGAACACTTGCCGAGAGCAGAAGCTGATTCATTTGTTTGTAGGCTGAATGCTCAGGTAAATACATTATATATGCAATGGCCAATTGCATTGAGTCAAATTGCTTGTGGTGTGCATTCCGCAGACATTATTTTGTTGTGTGTGTGTGTCACCCTTGGAGTCATAGGGATGCTTTTGCAGTTGT